TCCAGGTGGGTGATTATTTGTGTTGCGCAACGCTCTCACTTCTGCCTGAGTTTTTCGATTACTCGATTAATCGTCAGAATAATCGATATAACTCTTGATTACTAAAATAATCATTTTCTCACGTTAAATTATGTTTAATTATTTAGCGCTCCGTGTTCCAGCTGGGTGATTATTTGTGTTGCGCAACGTTCTCACTTCTGCCTGAGTTTTTCGATTACTTGATTAATCGTCAGAATAATCGATATACTTGATTACTAAAATAATCATTTACAACAGCCCTACTCTGGAAAATCATTCCCATTTCAAATAGGATTCTTTAGGATTCCAGTTACTTAAAGAACTTGGATTTATATACTTAAATTGCACATAAAGGATTCATCTAATCACATTTTTAAATTTACTGATGTTTATTGATGCTTTCATTGCAAAAACAATTGTAAAAATAAAATTTAATCAGATTTTTTAACATTAACAATTGTTAATTGTTAATGATAAGTTGTTTCAATAAATGGTAAAAGATATGAGAAATGCCCAGAAATTCAGTCTCCGACATGTGCGGCTCATTCAGTGGAATAGCTGGAGAAAATGTCTTCCTCAGTGAGGCTACGACTGCAGCAGCATCTTTGGCAGGTCGTGTACGGTTTCACTTGTCTCCTTTCAGGCCTCGATCCAAACAGGTAGAGGAGAATAGGCCTTTCTCTCCCTCTCCTTTACTTTTCCCTCCCTTTCTTCCTAATCTCTTCTCAGGTTCAGAAATCCTGGTCCGGGCTCTTTGAGGAGGAGGAAATATGGGGCTGGGAAAACATCAGGGCTCTCTCACTGCAGGGATTACAACACCCATATATCACGGTGACAACTCCCTTTTCAGCAGAAGACAAGTCACCAGGACCCTGTGGAGGAACAGATCCTATGACATTTACTTCCTGTCACAGGCACAGACACTGATAGTTTTCACCGTCAGCGTTTTCACAACATCACCTCAGCGTACCAGGATCCGGTGTCTTGAGTGTTTCCCAGCCAACGTCTCTGGACTTTCACACATCTGATGTTTGGCTTGTGGGCATTTTCAGAGACGCAACAACAAATGGAGAAAAGCTCCAGAGAAGGGCTTTGATCACAGGTAGTTTAAGAGAGAATGCTGCGAGATGCGCATGACGCAATAATCTCTTTCTCCTCTTACAGGCCAACATTGGCAGCTTGCTGTTGGACACGGTGCGTCCGTAATCCCATCGATCTAAAGCAAACAAAAATGGTGGCAAAAAGGGGAAAACAATTTCCACAACCCTTGGGAGAAATAGATTTTATAGAAGTAACTCAACTGTTCAAACAAAAAAAATATTCAGAATATAGAATAATAACTAGAAGAAACTGTTTTCAAGAAAACGGCATTGGCAGTGAAAGACGACAGAGAGGTGAGGAAACGAGTGAGAGCTGTTTATTCATCAATGTGCCTACTATTAATTGCATTTTCAATATTGAGAGTTCTTAAAACAAGAAACCCAGCTAAGACAGCTCCACATGTCATCTCTACAGCTGTAACTGGGCCACATGTGTGTAAATAAAATACCTAATACTCGGGCCGACCTGAGCTTTTCGTTTCAGCTCCATCAACAAATTCTTCTCTATGTACACGGAGGACGAGGCTCCACATTACCTCTGTCAAGACGTCTTCCTGGCATGCATCTTTATTTACCTGAAGCAGAGAATGTCCACAAAACTATTGTGGAGGATGTAGGAATGATGACGATCAGAGGTGGAGAAAAGAAAGTCCCTCGCCACGGATCGATTTCATCCCGCTTTGATTTTATCAGACAAACCCAACTGGCAAAGCCTGTTACTCCAAACACCATGTCAACCTTTGTCAAATCGCGTTCGATGTGAAAGCAGCGGCTTTAGAGAAGCACATTTACAGATACAACTGTGTATCAAAAAATTAACTTCCACTGTGCAGATGTCTGGACAGCAGCATCATTAAGTATTTACAGCTTGCTCCGAAATCCAAAAGAAAATATGTGTTGACACTTCCAGCAGAAAACCAGGTCGGCCTTTGCCAAGAACAGAAAATGTAATCCAGATTTTGTTGTCCAGTGGAACTCAAAACGTATTAGTTCTCATGAGATCGAACAGAAGAATGACTTTCTCAGTCCCTTCAAGGCTCACACATCGAGGAACTACTAATTACAGATTTCTGGGGTGATTTTAACAGATTTCTAAAAACATTATCTAATAAAGGCATCTGGGAGAAGTTATCTTCATTACAACAAAAGGTTAGCAGTGATTTATATTAGCCTGTTCTCTGTTCCACTATCTCAGGCTGAAGCATTTTATCATGGCGAAACACACATCATCTCTTTCCAATCCTGTTTTATCATTTTCTCTGTCCTGTCAGAGGAGGGGAACAGCTTGACAAATTATCAGCATTAGTCTCCATAATTCTGAGGGAAACCACGACGTCCAACATCTGACGCCAGAATCAAACTCATATGTGGGACAGCAGCGTGTTGCATATATATATATATATATATAAGACCCAATTTATGTCCACATTTTAAAACCCACAGTTCTAATATTCACAAGGATTTCTGTAGAAAACAACTTTTATTAGTATAAATAAACCAATCAGTTTTTCCACAGGTTTATACTAGAGCTGAAACAATTAATCAAATTAATAGAGAATAATTCGACATATTGAATTTATCATCAACTAAATAAGTAATTGATTAATAGTTAATTGGAGCAAACAGACTCAAAAAGATTCAATTTGCTCAAACAACAACATACTCAGAGCAGTAAATAAGCCAAAACTGTACATATAACATACTCAAATGCTGTAAAAAAAATCATATTAATCATCTTTTACTGTCTATTTTCTAATCCAAAAACTAATCAACATTTTAATAGACAATATGCATATAAGTATTTTCACTACAGATACATTATTTGCTGAAAATAATCAATCATTCATTAATGGAATGCTATGTTGTTGAAATTCAGGTAATAACACTTGTATTTTCTGATTCTCTAAAAAGTAACTGAATTATTTCTAATTTTGTGTAAAAAGGCTTAATTGGTTAAATGAAAAATCTGCCGACGAATTGTAAGAATAATTGATAGAACAATCGATTAATAAAATAATCATTAGTTGAAGCCCTAGTTTTCGTAGTGGATAAATATTTTTAAAACATTTTTCCTTGGCACAACAAGAATCCTGAAATAAAGGAGGGAACAACGCGACGCTGGAGGAAAGCCTGTAGCCGCTCGGCGAGGTTGGTGGAGTCAACTAACTAGCTCACTCTTTAGTTACCTAGCAACTCGCTCACTCTTTGGTTACCTAGCAACTCGCTCACTCTTTGGCTACCTAGCAACTCACTCACTATTTGGTTACCAATTAACTCACTCACTCTTTGGTTACCTAGCAACTCCCTCACTCTTTGGTTACCTAGCAACTCCCTCACTCTTTGGTTACCTAGCAACTCACTCATTCTTTAGTTACCTAGCAACCACCTGTTGAGTAACTCGCGCAGGAGCAGTTAAAAGATTTTGCCACAGTATTTCATAAAAATAATGATTAAAACCATCTATCAATAATCATAACCGATGACTGTTGATAGACTGATGAGGAATGTTCATATCGTTTATACGTTTTTCAGCCCTACGTTATATTAGCTCTGTTTTTACTTTTTAAGTGAGCACTTTCAGAAAAAAAAAAAAAAAAACATTACTAATGTCTGCGGATTGCTAACTGCTTTTTGCAAATGTTCTTTCCTTCAACATTTAGCAGTAACTAGGTGTGTCTGAGCCAAAATAAGCGACAGCAGACTTATTGTCTCATAATTGGCCACATGTCTAGCATTAGCTAATGCACATCCAAACAACAAAGCTGGCCAGGATGGGAAAAGAAATTACGCCTATTTGAGCACAGCCTGATTTTCTGCCAGTCTGTTAGGTCTTTAAGCTACAAGTCCCAAAGGCTTCTTCCTCCTCACTATAAACATAATAAATCACCAGATAAGTCAAATTTGACTGGAGGAGTTTGTTATCACTACTTTTGTTTTGGATTTGAAGCCGATTATGTTTCATTTTCCAAACACAACATCGTCCTTTCGGCTAACTTTGTAGCCAACTTTTAGCCATTTCCTTTCTTGTCCAATGATTTTGTCTAAAATAAATCAAAAGTAAGTGTTGTAAAAGTTATCATACATAACCTTTCAGTACAGAAGGTTTGAGTAAACCCGACCTGCTAAAACATCTCCTCGCCTGAGGCTTCGACACTGTTAGCACTGATATGTAAAGTCCTGCAGCTGCCAGTAAAGCCTCATTTGTCATAAGACTGCAATCAGCCATGGACATAAATCTTGCTGAATGTCAAATGTAAGGCCAAAGAAGTCATGAATATTCAACATTTGTCTTGGGTTTCCTGCACAAATCTGGCTTAAAGAAGCTAATTTTTATTTGATAGCTCTGGTTGCCTGAAACCAGACTCTTCTCCCACTGAAAGATGAATATTTCAAAATTTAAGCAATCCTGTAATTACTGAGTCGTATCTCATGGATTTTAGGTCAGCAACATCCACTTTAATGATCTCAGTGTGAGCTTGTCTGGCTTCGCAGAGGATTCCCACAACACAAGGTTCAAACGAAGTGGCTTGGCCTACATGAAGCTACACCTAAAACACCTTCCCGTCCGTTTTATCTCTCTGGCTTTCAGTTCAGGCGTCGGAAAGGAAGAACGCTGATATCCTGTCCTTTGATTCACACAGATTGGCCGACACCTTTTCCCACTTGCACACAAAAGGTGGCGAGCAGAACTTTGCTCATACGGACGATAAAGACAGCAACCTTGCCTGAAGCCAAGACATTCGAACAAAACACTTTAAAAGACGTTTCCCATCTTGTTTTGTTTGGCCTCTCCCTAAATGTGCATTTCTCAGGAAGTCTGAGCGCTCCTAATGAAACGAAACAAAAGAAAAAAAGGGAAGTGTGAAAAGACAAAGCCCTTACCTCGGGCTGATGAAGCCGGATGCCGTAGAGAAGAATATTTCGGAGCTTAGCTGTTGAGGCCAGGTCAATCAGAGCAGCAGACTCCGTCGCTCTCCGGCTGGTAGACGGCTCCTCTGTGACACTCAAATGCATCTATTTAAAAAAATATATATTTTAGAAAAACAGGGACAGGTTATTTTGCTTTATTTTATTTCCAAAATAATCCCACAGACAGATGTTATCCTTGAAACGTCTCAGCTAATTAGGAGAAAGAATTCAAAGCTGTCAGTTGTTTTTCTTTAAACACATAATTATTTCAATCTATTTTAATATCAATCTCACATTTTAAGACGGATTATTGAGCAAATTATAAGGATTTTATGCCCTGAGCCATGCTGGGCCTGAACTGCACACAAATCTGTCCCAATATAAAAACATGGGGGGAACAAAAGATACTGAAGAATGAAAAGAAAACATTTTTCAGAGCAGAATAAATGAACAGATTCGTCCAAAATCAGGTGAAAACGACGAATTTAAACGACTGATGGGTCATTTAAATTTTGATGGTAATGATTCATATTAACCATGTTTTTTTTTTTTTTCTAATTCAACCATGTTGATAATAATACCATGCTAGCAAAGAGCTTTAGCGTCAGCAGAACTAATGCTTAGGGCTGGTGCTTTAGGGTTTGCACTTTTTAGCTAGCAGTGCTCAACGCTTTTCATTTGTTGATGTTTTTGGGAAGACTAACAAAATGTCTTGTTTAAAAAAAATCCCTGGTTTTAGTAATCCAGGTGTTGATCTGGTGGATATGCAAATTTCAGTCGGCATTGCTTGGATGAAGCCAGTAAAAATTCAAACTATTGCATCAAATCACAGGTGATATTCTGCCAAAGTTGTTTAATGTACAAGTTGTCCGTGCTGAAAAGTAAATATTTAAAAAGCATAATTAAAGGACTGGAATTAATATTACATTCAAGCCCATAAAAATTTCTCACTGAAAGTGCAGATCTTCTCACTGTCAGGTAAAAACCATGAATAACCTGTTTTCTGTTGGAAGGTTTCTGGATTAATCCTCAGCTTTTATTTCTGAAGGCCTGAATGTGAAGCAGCTAAATAGCTTCATAGGACTTAATCTGATCTCCCTCCACTAGAAGCAGCTTCATATTCTTGCTTGGATTCATCTTCATGCAATAAAAGAGAATTTTTATCAATAAAAGCTGACTAAAACATTAATAAAACTCATGATTAGTATCTCAGCCTCCCAGCCGATCATTTGTCACTGGAACAGAGTGTCCAGCTCGTTTATTTGTCTCCTGACTTTGTTTGCAGCCACATCAGCTCAAGGCCCAGCTGCACTTATAACGACCAAATTCTCAGAACGTCTTACCGTCTCTGCTTCCAACCCAAGACAAACAAGAGCTGTTACATATGCAAATAAACTTTTCACATATAAGCTAAAGATAAACAGCCTTGAAATGAATAAATAAACCGCAGACGGCTCAGTTTGCCTTTAAGGTTAAGGACAGAATGTATTTGGTCTTGCTGTGACAGACAGCGGTGGATGCTCTGCTAATGAAGCCGTCAGTGACTAAATCTGCAATAAAAATAACACTCCGTGACATTTGCACTCATTTCATTAGAGTGGTTTTATGTAACGTGTTTTTGGAGCACATGTTCCAAAGCTGGGAACAGGTTTCCAAGATTTTGGTCATCTGGGGAGAAAAGTTAAAAAGTTTAGACTGGCTTCTTTAGATGAAGAGATGAAGGTTCCTCCTCCTGAAACTGCAGAAGCGTCGCTGTGGGTTTTGTTCTTTGGCTGTAACAACGAGTGGTTCAGATGACAACAATGTGAAAAAAGTCATTATTTTAAAATATCTGAACCACTTAGGCTCATAAACTATAATTGCTTTCTCTTTTGAAATCAATCATGATTAACAACACTCTGCAGCCACAGCAAGGCCTGATTATACGGCCAGATCTGCAGAATAAAAATAACACTTTTATACAACCTTTCTAATGTGTTCTTGATTGGCCTCAATCAAGAACACATTAGAGAAAAACAAACTGACATCAGACTGGAAATCAAACTTAAAGGGGAGCTGTTATTCAAAATTCACTTTTTGCACATAATTCTTCCATTTGAGTCTCAACAGACTGAAGGTTCTGGAGGATAAAGGTTCAGGAAATGTCTTAACAAATCGGTTTTAAAACACACATATCAAAGCCGTCGACATGGCTGCAGAGTCCCGGCTGTTAACTCACCCAGATGATCACTGCCGGGTTGAGAAGAGCTCGGTTTTCTGCCTCTAACGCCACAATTAAGGCCTCCACTTCTGAAGGGCAAAATGGATCGACCTGGAGATCGAGGAAAGCAGTTATTAAGAAGAAGGGTGCAGATAATTGTTGTTTAAACTTTATTATATTAAAAGGGAAACTCACAGAAACCTTAATGAAGTTCCAGTCTTCCAGCAGATACCTGCCGTTGTCGCCCATCAGATCTGGCGTGACGTTCAGCTCCTGCAGGGATATTTCAGACCTTCAAATGATGACTGGTGCATTCGAGGTCAAGAGAAAAACTGACTCCAGTGCTTCAGGAACCTTCTGGTTCTCGTCCCTTCCACTCCTTTGGTTACAACCACCTGCTTTCCTGCCGTTTATAATTACATGATTACGGAAATTAAAAGCCTAAGCCTGCTCCATAAGCCTGTTCTAGTTCTTTTAGTCAAGGTGGCAAGAACAAGATAAAAACGTTCTCCCTGGCAGAACAGTTCATACTTCACAAAAATTGAAGTGCAGAACTCTTGGGAAGTTTCATTGGTTCTTCCTGCTGCAGCATTTCTGTTTAATAATTGCAAGACACAGTTGATGTGTCCGGATCAAGCTGCAAGAAAAAGACTGATGCCAGTTTGTTCTTGCAGACCTGAAAGAGAGCGTATCTGTTCTTGTGGAATATATGTTGGTGTTTATGGGTCATCTGCAGTAGTAGAAAAAAAAGGTTTCGTCATTATACAATGCAAATGATGCGTTCTGCAAATTCTCCAGCTTTACCTTTTATGCTAACAGTTCACAATGTGTCCGGTAATTTATGGATATTCAATGCATAGAAAATTATCTACTTGTGACATTTATTTTATTAAAAAACAAACATTTATACAGTGTTTTTCTTGATGATCCAGTAAATACACTACAATCATAAATCACATGCAGGTGATTCTGTAAAAAAAAGAGCATTGGGGACTGATTAGAGGGATTAGTGGACTGATTGCAATAAAAGAGAAGCAGATGTGTTTGACATCATTGGATTCCTTTATTTGAAATGATTATTTAGAAAAGAAAGTGTCAACAAGACCTAACGAAACAAACATTTTGCAGTTGAAAAGTATAAAGCGGACTTCTTGAAAACATCTGTTAATGTCTGAATGTGGTTGAAAAATTACCGAGGTTAATAAAATAGGTTACCAGAGCCTAGCAGTCTCTTCCTAATTCAAGGACACAAGCACATCGCAACAAATGAAGAATGGTATGAAAGTATTCTGCAAGATAAACTCCTCCTAATGCTCCACGGAAACATGATGAACAACAATGTCTCAGGAAATGTAATAAAAGCAGAACAAAGATCTGAACATTCAAATTTTGGCCCAGAAGCCAACAAACAGATCAACTTCAGAAGACGAAGAAACACTTTAAGTATAAACTCTTCTGATAAATTAGGTCTATTTGCTAATAAAGGCCTTTAAAACCATTTGTGTCTGCAGAAACATTTCACTATGACTGTAGTCACTATTGCTCTTTTCGCCTCTTGCTGTCAGAAAACATTACTTCTTGCGCAAAATTAAAAAGTAAAAACTACATGCAAGCCAAGTTAAATTACATTATGTTGAAAACTGAGTAAAATCACGATACATCCAGGAATTATAAAAGCTTTTATGCAGAAACAGCCCCAACATGGAGGTACTGATGTTTCCAGTGAGTTCTGGCCTTGGCGGCATAAAGCAATCAGGTCACCCAATGAATTCATTTACCAATCATCTCTTCTGTTTTGCTTCTAATTACGCTCTAAAACTGAAATGTCATGCTTGCATAAAATAAACACCATAATAGACATCCAGAAGCTGTCTTTGGCACTGAAACACAGTTTGTTCTACCCAAACGAAGTAATGGAAAGCAATAGAAAATGTGTAATGGTTATGGGAAACATGTGTTGGGGGCTAGCGGAGATAGATAACAGCTCACTGTCTATGGAGGAAAATCAGGTCAGTGCAAAGTGTAAAGATTTGCAAGCTTTGAACAGAGAAACTGGCATGATTTAAACCAGGATGGCAGTGAAATCCTGAAGTAGACATGTTTGTTTAAGATCACGCTTGGAGAGAAACCACTAAGCTCTCAACACTGCAGGAACTTTGAAGTTGCAGCAAGTTTTAAATTTAAAACGAAACCTGAAACCATAACATATTTCTGCTGTAATATTGCTTCTGGAAGTACAGCGGGACGGTGCTGATCTAAGGAGACGAGGAAAACAACTAGCATGAGCTTCAAGTTGAAGTGATGAACGACTTGTTCATCAGTTGGACAAGAACTCATTAAAGCTGGACAAGTAAAAGTGCAACGTACCAATACAGATAATTAACACGCATGAAAATAACTGGACTGGAAGGTGTTGTGATGCCAAACACAGACACTAAGAGGTGTGAGTTGTGGCTTCACAGAAAGGTTTAAGGTATTCCCAGCATTGACTGAAGCACCAACCGGTCAGTGAAGGTTGGATGCCTGTAGAAACGTGATACAGAATTACTAAGTTGTAAAATATTTATTTTATTGTTTCAGTCTTTTTTAAGAGTAAAATATGATTGATGCCTCTTTATTATGTGGCAAAAAGAAGGTTGAAAGACTGTTTTAAAGACCTCACCATGTTTACCGTAACATTCGCAGTCTGTTACATGTTACTGACAACTCTCCTCCCAATCTGAAGAAATACCAAATCATTGTAGTCCATAGTCTTCCCCTCTCTGCTAGCATGCGCCGCCAGTTTCTCCACCTGCACTCAAACCCAAACTGCTTATCCCTGTGTTAGATCCACGTAATGGCGCTGGGACAAAAGTAATTTTTCATCTTCCGCCTTCTGTACTTGTCTTTCATCCCCTCCATTATTCTTCCTCCTTTTCCAAACCCAGTGAAAAGGATGGATCTGGTTCCTTACAGGCACACCGGAAAGCCTCGGCCCCACAGGCCACCTGAGCGCAGCTGGGAATCTCTCCAGACAGCCGATCCAAAGGAGCCGACAGAGGCTCCAATACATCACCGAGACTCTGTTCAGCACCGCGAAGGACTTGGAGCGGGTTTAAAGGACGATGAACTGTTTAGATCACTGCAGAACATTAAAGTGTTCTTCCACCAATCTCTACTGTCAGCAGTTACATCCAGGGAAGATAAATACAGATGTGCAAGATAAAGGAGACATGTCTCCAAATATGAGGACTGGCTTAGGGTGTTGTGAACATGTGGTAAAATACAGTAGAAATCTGAGGAGAGTCGTTTCGGAGACCAACAAAAAGCGGTCGAATGTTCTGTCGTTAGCTTCTAAATCCCGTCACAAAGTAAACAGCTTCAGGAGTTTTGGGATTTTTGACAAAGCTGACGATGATGGACTGCTGTGTCGAGTCTTCTTCAGTGCATTCCACAGATTCTCAATGGAGTTCAGGTCTGGACTCTAAATTTTCACATCCTGACAGACTGGCGACAGCCAACCAGACACTGTGACTGAAGATAACGTACCCAAAACAGACAAGACATAATTAATCATCTCAAATGACTGAAAGAACAACAAGGATTACAAGAAGCTAAAGAAAAGTGGAGCTCAGATTCTAGATTGGTGCTTCCAGAGTTTAAATCCTTGTTCTAGAAAAGAGGCTGGTGCAAATAACAAAAAATATATTTGAATTTTGTTTTAATTGATGTCAAACAACTGCACTGCAAAAACACAAAATCTTACCAAGTATTTTTGTTTAGCAAACCTGAAATAAGATAAAACTAACTTACAAGTAACTTTTTAGTTGACTTTTAATTCCTTAATATTCCTCCTGGATTATGGCAGGAAAATCCCACCAAGCAAGCAGAAAGTTTGGCAAGTGAAGATTTGCTCCAAGCAGAGACTAAGTGTGAGTGTGAGGAGAAGTTTTGAGTGCAATCATTACAAGTTTTGAGAAGAAAGACATGAAGTCCTGCTTTCAAAATAGAAATATAAGCAAAAGTATTAAAAGTTTTGAGAACAAAAGACATGACGTTCTGCTGTCAGACTGAAAATGTGTGCTCTGGGATTATGGCAGGAAAATTCCTCCATACTCAGTCAATCAAATTTTATTTTGTATTTCTTATACAGCTAATGTTAAATAATGTTTTGTTTACTTTAACATATTGAAAGATGTTGACCCTCTAGATACAAGAGAAAACTCATTTTTATAGGAAAATGGCCGCTTACCTATAAGATCAATCAACTTTTTGATAATTGATAATTTGGCGATATCTCTTAATATTGGGCAAATCTACCTGCAGGTATTGATAAAGTCACATTGACCTTTAAGTTCTTGAGATTTTTAACATTTTCTGCATCACAGCCATCTGAACCTGTCAGCAGCTGCCAGGGATCAGTTTCATGTTCTCATTACGGCTGCAGAACGTGTTACCTTTCATATGTTTCACAAAAAGCAGTTTCTATTTTTATTCCTGAGTAGTTTTCATCCCTTTACAGCGTAGGTAGAAACATGCAGTCCTGCTCCAACAGAGCTGAATCAAATGCCTGAGTTACGTCCTCCTAATGATGAAAATCTTTGATGTAACTGTGCTGAAAAGATATTCATCTAAAGGTCTCAGGCTCTGAGACTGAAGCTTCAGAGCCCTGAGTTGGAGGTTTCTGATTTTCAGACTTGATCAACGGAAATCCCGCAGTTCTTGGGGTGCAGAAAAGTGTTTCACATATCAAAGGTTTATGTGGTCTGTGCAGCCATATCTAATATGAAAAACTGTCAGTCTTTACTTGTTTGCATTTGGACGCTGTTTTAGATTACCCAAGAAAAAGGACCGTGAGTTCAAAACAGATGTTAAAGAAAGGCAGAGGGGTGAACATTGACCATTTGTCTTTTACAAGTGAGATAATATTAAGGAGGAGGTAAGAATTCATCAATAAACACCCAGCTAATCAGGGAAACTCCCAGAGTTCACTCTTTCCGTCTGAATCAGAGAGAGATGGAGTTTGGGAAGAAATGAGGGGGAAAATGGAGTGTGGACATTTTCGACAGGCTCTGATACACGGCTGACTGTAAATACCAACTCCCACCACTAGGCCACCCACATGGAGCTCACATGAAGTTTTGACTGGGAAAGTTTAATGAATATGAGAAGAGACAAAGGAGAACAGTGTAAAATAAAAAGCACCTGCTCTTTCTGAGATTCAGTCAGCAGCAGTAGTTAAAGCACCAAGGAGGACTGGCAGCAGGAACAAAACTACTTATTTCATCAAATGAAGATTTCAAAGCAAATTAGTGAGCAAAACATTAAACATTGTAACTGTAGTTATGGAAAGCTGGCATCCTGCAGCAGTACTCACCATATCCAGAGCTCCAAAAGCTTTTTGGAGAACATTGGCCAGAGCCACAGCAGCTTCCAATCCCCCGGTTATAAGGCAAGCTGACTGCGACAAAGTCTCTGAAAACAAAGAAGCCAATGAGAGAATTAAGGCTTTGTGATTAATCTAACAGTCTGTCTGATATCTACTGCCTCTGCTTTTTTTAATTAGAAAGAAGTTAGTAAAGTTTACAACAAGCTATGTCCTGTTTTACCACAGTCCTGCATCCTGATTCAGCCTTGTTACCAAAATCTCCAACAATCAAAGATTCAATGTATAAAAGATTATATAGTTATACATTTGATATTGTTTTTATTGTCAGATATATTTTCATTTTGTATTAAAAACCTGAAGAAAAACAATGTAATACCAATGCTCTGCCAGTAGGTGGAGAGAATAGTAACATAAATTAAGCGGAAAAAGTTCGAGCGAGGTTAAAGTAGTTATCGTGGAATGTCCGCTTAACAAGATATTCAACTTTTTCATGGCGATATCACCTGGATGCTATTTTACAACAGTAAAATTTACTATGAAAGCAGTTTGTATTGCTGGAACTATATGTGTTTTATTTATTTAGAATGATTTTTAAAATTAATCTGCCTGAGAAACACATTTATTATTTTGCTAATCTTTTGAGATAGTAAAAGTTTCATTTGCAAACCCACATTTTTTAATTATTATCAGATTTAGACATTTTCCATTAACTAGTTAGCAGCTTGTATTGTTGTCAATGTGCCTCTGAGCTGCTGATTGATTTACAGACTAAGTGGATTTCACTGAGTGAGCTGGCGGATATAACAGCAATGATTCACCAGCTGGCACACAGCCGAAATACAATTACATGTCTTTAGATAAAAACACAACAGTTATCAAGGACAATCAGCTCATCGCAGACTCCACAAAAATAAAAATTAGACCTCCTATCCAGATGTCTCGCTTGATAAAAGAACCAGTCGTTTATGCGAACGCACACCAACCGAGGCAATAAGCAGTTAGTCAAACTGACAGATATGAGAACTTCCTTCCACGTCTTTAAAAAAAAAAAAACACACACACACACAATGAATTCATTCACTTGAGAGGCTCTGGGAATTATCACCGCACACCTCTTGTCACCATCAAACAGGTACTTGTTGGTCCAGGTGCTGGCAGGGTGAAATATGGGGCTGTGTTTATTTCCTCTCCTCTGATTGTGAAGGTGTCCCTTGTCCTAACTTGTTCTCCCCAGTATTCAGCGTCTGCTTACACCCGCCCTCTTCATCTCAGGCCAAACAATGCTTAAAAAGAATTTCCCCCGTCAGAGAATGGCGACGGGTCATTTTGGTTTATTGTCACCTATTGACTGCTAGCTACAGACCACACAAAAAGAAACAAAGCACCGCAGCTCTGCTCACTTCAGGGCATTTATTCTGTCAGACATGCATGCATACCGTACAACTCAGCTACAGGAACAAAGATCTCTGAACGACACACACACACAGTGCATCAACAGTGCTTCAATGTTTCCATATTTTATGTTACAGCCTTATTACAAACTGCAACACAAATACCCCATTATAACAATGTGGAAATATTCTTGAGATTTTTTGCTAATTAATTAATTTGTTCATTTTTTTTTTTTTCACAAAATTTTTCCTACATAATGAGTATTTTTGTGGTCAGTTCTGTCTATTTTCAGATGTTTTAAGGTCTCTTGTCACATTAAATCCAAATGAGCTGCTACTGGCCATGACCCCCAACTTAACATTTACACTCGCAAATAAAAACACCTAAAAACAGATGTGCGATTATACAGCCTTGAAAAGCAGAAGTAGAGCCTTCTGCAAAATCAACAATAATACAGCAAGTCTTTTCTGGATGGTAAGTCAACAACTAAAACCTCCAGCAGCCATTGTACAGCTCATACAGAAGGGAAACCAGCTGTATGCAAGAGTGATGGAGCTCCATTTGGGTTGCTAGGTAACGGTGCTCAGCTTGGCTAGGGTTGCTAGGTAACGGCGCAGTGCCAGTCAAATGTGACTTACTAATCAGCAGGCTTTTGAAAAGGTTTATTTTCCAGACACCAAATAAACATCAATTTGTTAAAAACGGTCTGGGTGGATTTTTTTAATCCATTGGTCTGTCTTTTTGGAAAGACACCCACTTGTCTATAAAAGGTCCCAGAGTTAATACCAAGCTTGTAATAACTAAGCTTGGTATTAAAGGAGTTGTCTTTAGACCACTGAGACAGGATTGCCTTGAGAGCTAAATCCAGAAACATTTCTGCGGTCCCAGTGACCTCTGTGACCTCAATTATTTGTAACTGAAAGAAGCTTGAAACCATCAGGACTCTTCCTATGGCTGGTCGGCCACTCCTTAATAAAAGGAGCCTGAAGGACTCTAAGGCCACAAGAAACAAGATTCTGGTATGAAGAGACAGAGATTGAAACCTCTGGAGTGAATACCTGGCGTCATGTTTGGAGGAACCAGGGCTCATTACCGGGTCAATACCGTTCCTGCAGCGAGGCACGGTGGTGCCAGCATCATGTTATGGAGACGTTTTGGAGCAGCAGGAATTGTCCAGACAGAGGGAAAGATGAATGCAGCAATGTTTAGAGACATCCTGGCCTGGTTGGAAACCTGCCCCAGGGCGCTCCTGACCTCAGACTGAGGCGATGATTCATTTGTCAGCAGGACAACACAGGATCAGAACCACTCTGAGAATGTCCAAAGCCAGAGTCCAGACCTGATTGCATTTCTGAAGAGATCTTCCATGCAACCTGATGGAGCTTGAGAAGAACTGCAAAGCTAATCTGGTGGCATCACATTGAAATAAAATGAGGTATTAAGCTAATTTCTTTGTCTCTTCTTTTTTTTTTGCAAAAATCCCCAAAGGTTTCCCACATTGTCATAATGAGGTATTTGTGTGCACAATTTTGTGGGAAGAGATTTCATTTAATTCAATCTTGAATGACGCTGTAACATATAATGTGGAAAAAGTGAAGCACGGTGAATACTTTCCAGGTGAAATACTTAACAGGCCGTGTAAAAAAGAAGGTTGTGAGGACGGAAAGTCACCTTTGATGATGGACTCTGCAGCAGCTAAATCCCGTTTATAGGTCACCTGGAGGACAAACAGTTGCTTAGTCAAAGTAGAAACAAAAGTAGTTCATTCACGCACATCCATGCAGAAATATTTTCAAATTATTTCCTAAAACCCTCACAAGGATGAAATGTTGCCTCTAAGCTACAGAAGCTAAAACCTGAGCTGGTAAAGGTGATAAATCAAACAATCGTAAATCATTAAAATCCCCTTTTACTCCGATTACACAGATTCAGGTTCTGTAAGTACAAGTCAAGTGTGGTTCAAGTGCTAAAAAATAAATATATTTTTAAATGATATCTGACTTGTTTTTGTTAAATTGAGATTGCCAAAATTATTTCTATTCACCAAATGCCAAAATTTATAAGGGAGGTAATTTTTTATAGAATTGCACATAGATTCACAGAAGTTTTCAAACATTTTTTTGTAGTATTTGCAGTTTGGATCAGATTTTGTGGATTTTGTTCCATAATCTTCTCACCATTTTGCTGGAAATTTGCCCCATTCCTCAGACAGAACTGGTTTAACTGAGTCAGTTCCCAGGAAACTGGAAGCTGTCATGTTTCAGCATATAAAGACATTTTTACAAAGCATGCTCCGCGTTTCTTCTTTTTCCAAAGTAAAATTATTTTAAAATTCAAAAACCTTTATTTCTGTTGATTAAACAGTACAAAGTCTCACTTAACGGATCAGTACTATCCGAAAGCGGGTCGTTTTTACGCTCACCTTCCACAAGGTTGGCGGACCATCGATGAGTTTGGCGTTGGTGCCGCAGTACTGCAGAGCAAGATGGAGACACTCGGTACCGAACTCGAAGTCTGACTCGGTGCACTGCAGAGGGGCCACGTGGACGGCGTAATTCATGACAGAGAAATTATCGTTAACAACAAAATATGTGTCTTAATTCTTATAAAGTACTTGTTTACAGGAGTAATGGTTCTAAAATATGAGAAGAGCTTGGCAGAAAAGATAAAAACGGTTCACGGCAACACCTAGGTAAGTGATTGTAAATCCTTTGCCTTAATTAGACACGCTAACATCCTGAGGATTGCTACGATGCTTGAGTTGCCATATCTGCAGCATAAATCAACCTAGAAATGTTTGGTGAATAAATCCTCGTTTTGTCCTTATCCACTAAAAAATCGGATTCTGCTTTAAAAATACTTAACACCAAAATATTCACTAATTTTTTTACCAATTATTTGAATTTTGTTGGTAAACTTTAAAAACCTACTATACTCTGACTTTCCTGCTCTGCATGCTACATCGTAAACTTCACAATGATCTTTTGCATTTGATTTATTTGTCTGCAAAGTGATCAGTGGCAGGGCTTGCAAAGAAAATGCTCAGAATAAAACACTGCTGTCACCACATTTTTCACTTCAGAGCTCCATTTTCTTTGGCCGTTGAAATCTTCTTGGCCTTATAACTGCTCTCTTATCTTTCAGATTTAACACTGAAAATGTCCAAGACTGTTTTTAATTGAGGCATTTTAACCACATCATTCTACAAGACATTAAACGATACTGGATGATTTTTTTAAGTGATGCTATGGCTCCTTGTCTCTGTCACTCAGCAGAACGGACGTGTGTACATTTAACCTGAAGTACATGTAGGCCTATAAGATGCAAAATACAGTAAAAAGTGAGGACAGTAAGTAATTATTTCGTGTCACTGATGCATTCAGAGGCAGCACTGCAATCACTGTGGACAGGAGTATTTGGTAGGATATTATGTTCCAAGCTTCTTGCATGCAACTTCAGCATAACTGTGATACTAAAGCTGATAAAAGTGGTGGGGAAAATATGATGAAGGAAAA